CACAACAGACACCCTGTGAGGTAAAAGAAGAAGAAGATATTGGATTTATACCCCGCCCTTCACTACCCAAAGGTGTCTCAGAGCGGCTTACAAACCCCTTTCCCTCCCCCTCCCCACAACAGACACCCTGTGAGGTCGGTAGGGCTGAGAGAGCTCTTGACAGAAACTGCTCTTTTTCAAGGACAGCTGTGCCAGAACTGTGGCTTCCCCAAGGTCATCCAGCCAGGTGCAAGTGGAGGAGTGGGGAATCAAACCCGGTTCTCCCAGATTAGAGTCCGTGCACTTAACAACTACGCCAGACTGGTGAACAGACTAATTCAGTGCAACGATATGAACAAAATGCCCCTTTAATTAAATTAATTTAATGAGCCCTTAATTATAAAATCTGCCTCCCGACTGACTCAGTTACTTACTGAAATGTGTTAAATTTGTCACCATACGGCTGCAACCTTAATGATTTTTATAGAGTATATGAAATGAGTCTTGTCCTTCTCCATGCTGGTTCAGCCTTGAGTCATTTTGACTAGATGAATGTTCCCCCCCAAATTAAAATTTCACACCAGGTTTTGAGACTGCGTGTGCCTGACTCTTACCTTGGGGCCGTCCGGGCCCTGCCCGCCAGCCATCCCCTTTTCCCCCAGAAGGCCAGAGGCTCCGGGGTTTCCCCTTTCTCCCGGATGGCCACGTTCACCCTGCAAAGAGACAGCCTGGAAGTGATCTGGAGAGTTCCAAAAAGCAGAACACAGGAGCTTTATGTGTCAAAACCAGGGCTATTTTTGGGCAGGATCAATACTAGTAGAAGTAACCCGTCTATAAGGCAGTTTCATGGGTTCACTTTTGTACATACGTACGTATTACGAACTCAGACTGCAACATCCACAGTAGCGTAGTGTAGATTTTCCATCACCTAGTGTCTCTTGCCTTGAAAATTCTACTGGGTCACTATATATGTAGCTTACTCTGAGCTGTATGGTGAAGGATGGCTTGGCAATGTAAACATCATATCGACAAATGACGAGAGACATGCTTTCACCCATGCTAAATAATGCCGTTCAATCCGCTTCAGCAACCATTTGCAAGTAGATTTTGCCATTACACTCAGTAACATCCAGTTGCAAAGTGCATTGAGAGTGGATTGAAAGTGCATTATTTAGCGTATGTGAAAGCGTCCATCTTAAACATGATGTGCTCCAATATCAGAGAATGCACAGAACTGTAACTTAATGGGGGGGGGGACATCAAAGATTCCAAAGATTCCACGTGAACTGTTTGGCATTCGACAAAACCCAGCTTTCAAGGTGACAAAAAGTGGAAGAAGGGGTTCCTGTCACAATACACTGGAAAAGGAAAATAGTATCTAAGACTGAACTAAGCGGTGAAATTCAAACTGTTATGCTTGAAGCGTGCCATTTTCGGTTTGGGGTGGTGGGGGTTCTGCAGTGTAGCATTCAAAGACGTGGCTGTGTGTGTTCCAACCCTGGATATAAAAAATAGCTTGTAAGATTGCTATGAAAGTGACGGTAAAACTCACCCGGGGGCCTAAAGGACCGTTGGCTCCAGGATCCCCAGGAACACCCTGTGGAGGGGGGAAAATTTGGAAATTGTTAGAAGACGAAGAGTGGGTTTTTATACCCCCACTTTTCTTTTCTTTTATTAAATCTTTATTGAATAGTTCCATACATTACAATTTTTTCCCCAGCCAATACAACAAAGCAATCTGAGCACTGCAGTAAACGGTGTGTTACTTACATTCACTTAAACGAATTAAAATACATACAACTTTATTCTAATAGTGTAAATCCATAAGATATCTTGTTATACTAAGTTTCCCTCCATCAAGGCATGAGCATATATGTAGACTTTGTTAGGGTTCAATAACGACACACCACAACAGATTTCAGGCTTGGATCATGAAGCAAGTACATTTGGTCTTGTTCACTTGCAATCAATTAAATTTCTCTCAGCTCCCTGGAGCTGTCTCTTCATCAGCCTATGACCGGCACTTTAGGAGCGAACCACAGCTTCCTCAGCCTCAGGTTTTTTACCGGGCCCTGCCTGATCGTACTTGGCTGGGTCCAGCCCCCTTGTTGACTTGGGGGAGAGGGTATGCTTCTGTTTTGTCACCCACAGGTCCTCTTTGGGTTCCTGCCAAGTGCGTTCATTCAGTGCATGGCGTGGCATCATGGGGGGCTGAATCCAGTTCCAGAGCTCCAGAACGTCAGCCTGACTGAGCCCCCCCCGGCAGCCGCAACTGAGAACCACACAAGCTCCTCTGGTGACCTGGGGTGCCGTAAAGCGGGTAACCTGCGACGCACAGAAGCTGCTACAGGAGCAGGGCAAAGAGCTGACACCCGAGAATCTCTGTGTTGCTATCTTTGCGGTTATCACTGCAAATTCTGCTCGCACCTAATCTGCAATTCTTTATTTGCACCTCACTAATGCAAGCTTTCCCATACATCAACAGTCTACAGGACAACTCTGAGCACTGGAGTCCAGAGTACCGCTATCTAGTCTTTGGTCAGCAGTTTCTGGATCCTTTACAATCACCGTACGGGCTGGAACTAATAGCAGGGCCAGTTGCAGTTTGCCCTTACTATCTGTGTCTAGTCTGGTTCTACTTTGACCCCACAGACTCTCCCTTTGGGTGGGGAAAGGTAGAATTTCAGTTTCGCAATCCTGACTATCACGACACGTGAAAGCCTCGGCTATTTTTCCAACGCAGGCCGAGCTTTCCAGATTTAATTCGTGTGTGGGAACATTCTCAAGGCCGTTTTGCCCTATCTGAAGAACACAATCCTCCTTCCATAACTGACTGTACTGTTTGCCACAATCTCTGGTGTACACGTTGCCAGGGTCTCCATGGAGACTCTACTGATTCCTCTGAGCATGAGCCCACCGACTCAGAGGATGAAGAGGATGAAGAATGGGGAGAAGGCGAGCCACTACCTGACACTGATGCCTGGTGGGCCTGAGCTATGTGTTAGCCTCCTCATGGTGTCATTTTTAATTGTGCCCATTGGGGGGGTGTTGCCTTCTTTAAGAGAACGTATGACATTTAACATTTGGGAATGTCTTGCTAATATTTCTAATGTTACTCATTTCTGTTTAACCAATTCTCTTTCAGCTGGTGATATATTAGGTACCTGTTTGATCCCGGTGTGTAAGCAACCTGCAAATATAACTAAAGAGACTATGTTCTATGGGTTTCCCAATGTTGCTGTGGGTTATAAAACCATGGCAAAATGGGGCCCAGTAAACAAGACTTTACCTGCATCTGCAATCTCTCTTCATACTCCCTATGTAGCTAGTGGTAATACTACTTGCGCCCGCATTGTTAACTGTGCTAAACGTGCCCAGTGGTGTTCTAACATAGGCCCTGACATACTAAAATGTCCTTAACTCACTAAAGTGTCTTTCAATTATGCTCATATCATTTTACCTACTGGTTGGTTCTTTACCTGTGGCAATCGTACCTTTAATTATATTCCTGCCAATATTAGTGAAATCACTTGTTGCCTTAGTCGGCTTGCTATTGTTCTGCCACAAACACAATCTCGCACTCAGCGCTCTGTTTCCCTTTCTCCTGATTGTGATTCTAAAGTAAGTTTGCTGAGTAAAGCTGAATATGTTTCTTTAGCAGCTTCCTTTGTTGGGGTTCCTGGACTAGCATTAGGTAATGCCAGGACATTAGCTGAACTAGCATGTTATGCTGTCAAAGCAATTAATGCAACTTCTAAGGCTATTGCACTCCTTAATTCTGAACAACGGGAACTGTGAGGAGCTATTCTAGATAATAGAGCAGTCATTGGTTTTTTGCTTTTCAAACATCATTATGGGTGTTCTTCTTTTAAAAATATGTGTTGTTTTCATCTAACTGATAATGGTCAGAGCATTGAGCACCGTCTGGAAGAGCTTGAAAATCTCACTGGCTATATTCGGCAAGATGTGGGATTTGAAGGTCTCTGGGCTTGGTTCAAAGGCTGGCTTCCTAATTTGGGATGGTTACAGCAATTGTTTGTTTATGGGGTGACAGGATTAGTTATCCTGATTCTATTATGCTGTTTTCTACAATGCATTCCTTCTTTATGCCAACTGTTCAGCTCTCTTTGTCGCCCTCCAAAACAGGCCTATCCACTTCAGGTGGATGTAACCTGGTCTCATGCTGACTCAGAGGATGAATGGCCTAATAAATCTGGGGATGGCATTCCTCTCTTACCTGCACATTAAATAAAATAAACAAAAAAAGGGTGGCATGTGGGGTCTGAACATAATCCTTGGAGGCAAGTCCCAGGACAAAGTTCAAGTTCCCACCGGAACACTCTCACCGGGAGATTGCTGGGAGATTGGCTTGGCAAAAAGCACAGGGTTTTTCTGATTCTGCATGAGACTGCTAAATTACTCTGAGAGAGCACAAGATCTGCAACATTTAAGCAAGATAACTTGAGCTATGAGAAAAGAACATTCTGTGAACTACACTGTGCTTTTTAGCTTACAAAGTCTTTTGCTCTGTTGTAACGAATTTGACTGAGCCTTCTTGATTCTAATAAAATGCTGCTGTGAGAGAGCAGGGAGCTTGGTACAGAGAGACAGAGACAGAGCTCGTCTGCCGCTTCAAGAAATCTTTGTGTTGGGTCGTTCTTGAACCCTACCAAAAGTATTTTACCCTCCTTGTGATCTGTTAAAGCCTTTAATGTGCGTGTCCTGGCGCGTTTCCTACATTGCTTTGCAGGGACCTTTGCCTGATGTATTTTAGACATGCCAACCAACTGTGAGATGTTTGTTTGCGTGGGAGTAGATTTTGTAGAGTCATATATTCTAGTGCTGGAGCCCAAATATGAACAAATTTAGAGTAGGTTGGTGTCGAGGGGTTGTGTGTTCTATGGATGGAGTCTGATTATTTTTGCCATTATAAATTGGTCCCATATCTTTTCTTGCCAGACTGACAAAGGAGTCTCAGATTGTGCAGAGTTGTTTTCTGTTGTTTCCTGTTGCCCCAGAAGGTCGGACCAGAACCAATGGGTTGAAATTAAATCAAAAGAGTTTTCGGCTAAACATGAAGAGTGAGAGTGGTTCCTCAGTGGAAAAGGCTTCCTCGGGAGGTGGTGGCCTCTCCTTCTTTGGAGGTTTTCAAAGCTGATTCTGACAGCAATGCTGATTCAGCGGACTTAGGCAGATCATGAGAGGCAGGGCAGGGAGGATTGCCTCAGTGCTTAGTTCTCGTGGACATTTCTTACACCCCCAGGGAAACGCTGATTGCCACTTTGGGGTCAAGAAGCAATTTTTCTCCAGGCCGGTTTGGCCGGAGATCCTGGAGATTTTTGTCATCTTCTGGGCGTGGAACAGCAGTCACTGGGGGTGTGGGGGGGGAGGTATTTGTGAATTCCCTGCATCAGTCCTTTCCAACTCTATGATTCTATGAGATGGATGGACTCAGTCAAGGAGGCCAAGGCCTGAGCAAGTCTGTTAATGATGGGATGGCCATAAATTGATAGGGTTGCCATAAGTGGGAGGTAGGTTGACGGCACGTAACACCCACACGCATATGACTCAGTATCAACGCAGACCCTGAGGATGTAAACACCCAACAGGTTTAAATGTAGGGTTAGATCCAAAGGTGCAGCATGTCAGGATGGCAGACGAAAGAATTGTGATTTTTACACCAATTGCCCTCTCCTGCTACAGACCCCCACTTGCCGTACCCCAGGATTCCAGGGTCTAAGTGGGGGGGCAGGAGGAGAGGGAGAAAAGTACTGCTCTGAGGCTGCGACAGATGGCACAGAAAAGCAGCCTTTAAAAAAATGCTGCTTGTATCAGAGAGTCAGGGAGTTCACGAATTAACCTTCCCCAGAGAGAAGAGCTTATGTAGTTGGTCTTTCGCAATTTGATCTTTTGCAATTTGGTCTTTCTGACATCTGGATCAGTAGCCAGAGGGTTTGGCTTCTGAGGGAAGAGGCATTTGGGAGCCAGTGTCTTTTGACAGGCAGTAGTCAGAAAAGTACTTCTACAGAGAGAAGAAGAGAAACTCTGTTGTCTTAGATATAGTAAAATTGCTCTGAGGGAGAATTTTAGATTCTCAGGAAAGCTACAGAACAGCCTTATACAGACATAGGATACTGGAGAAAGATTTGGCAGAAGGTCTGAGTAGTTAGAGATAACTCCCAGACAAGCCAAATAGTAAACTGAGTTACTGCTTCTTAGGGACAAGGAGAATAACTTCCTGCCAGTGAAAGGGGTTGGGAAGAGAACCCTGATCTGTGATAAAAGGGAGAAGCTTAGACGCCTCAGGAGTTAGTGAAAAGCTGTAATATCTAAAGGGAAACCTAGTACTCTGAAGGAAGAAATCTAGAAACATCAATAAGAACTGTGTTAGTGCTGAAATATACTCAACAAAATACCTCTCAAAGAAGGAAACAGAAAGCCTTGAAACAAAACTACAAATACACTCTCTTGAATGTTCGAAGAATTCAACTCTGTATATATTTGAAAGTTTTTAACCTCAGCAATCTCAAAACCTTGACTATTCCTATTATACATATATTCGCTGCCTGTTTACTAAAACCTTTATTCTGTTTTTGAAAGTTAATTTGCCTCAAGTGCCATTTCTCAAGGGTTTAAAAAAACTGGACAGTGCCTGTATTTTCACTAGATTTCCTGAGCTGAGAAAAAGTCCAAACTAAATACCTAAACATAGGGTGGGATAGTCAAGTCTTTTATGACAAAGAATACATACGCACTACTGTAGGGCACTGAGGGGAACTGAGATTTGGCAGGAAAAATCTGTTTCAAGCAGCTGCCTGCCAGATGTCTCTGTGGCTTACACGCATGGTTTGTACTCAAGGTATACTACTGTTAAAATAGAGGTTCCAGTTAGTTATCAAAAGCAATCCTTCATCCTCAGTGCATCAATCTAATCCTTCAAAAAGCTGATAATCATGCTTACAGTTCTTCTGACTCAAAGGTTTTGAACTGCTCACGATCCAGTTCTCTTATAGGCAATCACCACAGCTAAATAGCAACAGCTAAGGTGGTTTTCCAATCCTCATGTACAAGGGAAAACTGGACAATATTTTGAAATAATAAACTCCTATAACCTATTAAGAGGGAGGACAAATATCTTTCTCAGATCAGACCAAATTCTGTGAAATAAAATGTGTTTTAAGAACACAAGCTGACCAGATCCA